CCAGTTCAAATGATTCTCCTGTGTCAGCTTCCTGAGTAGCTGGGATTACAGATTCCCACCACCACACCCAGCTAATTTTTGTATTTTTATCAGAGTCAGGGTCTCACCATGTTGGCCATGCTGGTCTTGAACTCCTGACCTCAGGCGATGCTCCCCCCTCGGCCTCCCAAAATGCTGGGATTACAGGCATGAGCCACCATGCCTGGCCAAAAATAACATTTTAATTTTGTCGTCACATTTTCGTAAGCTCTAAATTTTTTAGGTCATGTAAATATAGAGCAATTTAGGCAGAGAATAATTTTAATTATTGACCACAAGCTTTATGTGTTTATTTTAACCAGTTGTTTTTTTTTTTTTTCCCCCCTCAAAAGGGTACTGTGACTCTAAAGACACTTTCCTTTAAATTCATAAATAATGATGGTTTGGTACTTAATACTTGAGACACCTGGAGGCAAAGGAAATCAAGGATTATGTTTACAATTATATGTTATATGAAGTAACACATGGTCTTATGTAGCTTGAGTTTAATATAATGCTCCCTGCAAATGTCAGTTGAAGTGAAAAGAATCTTCCAAAGAATCTGAACTGGGAGCCAATATGCTTACAAGAATGGGTGTTGGCCTGTTGTTTGATTTCGTAGGGAAAGTCATGGAAAACTCTGGGCTTCCTAGGTCCCTCCACCTTGATGTCTAGGCCACAGTGATTTGGCAAAGGCAGGATTGAAGGAGAACTTTCTGAATTTTTTAGCAGTGATATATGAGCCCATTATAAACACCAACTGTGTGGGCTGAGTACGTGTTAGCAATGGAAGTGAACAACCTAACACAAGATGAGACAAGGAAGATATAGTGAAGAGTTAATTCGTTGAAAACACAGCCATAAAGCAGGTTTATTTTCCCAATAATTATTAATAAATATGCTCTGCTCATTAAGATCGCGTTTTTTTTTTTTCAAGCTGGTAAGTGAGCTCATTCGATCATATAAATTTTCACTTGCTTTATGTCATTAGAGAAGTTCCTTTCCCGCTCTGGCGCCTCAACGTTGGAGCAGAGCCAACTCCACGTGAGATTCAGGGAGGGAGGCTGCCGCTCTCCCTGAAGGCTGCTACTGCTGAGGCCTAGGGGCTTGGTGTGAACACAAGAGTTCCTCCAGCTTCCTACTATCTGCTGTTTTGAGTCCAAAATATTTATTATATGCAATGACCCTGGAGTCACAAATATAATAAATATTGCATGACAAGAAAAGCTGAGATTGTGAGGTAAACCAGACAAACGAAACAGTAATAGGGCCAGCATTAGAAATCTCCTCCCAAATTCCCACTTCATGGCTTAACTACTAAAACCTTGGTGCCCCTCTGAGCAATAGGAAGTTAAGTCAATTTCCCATAGCCATTAAGAAGGCTATGCTTGGCCTGGCATCATGGCTCATGCCTGTAATCCTAGCACTTCGAGAGGCCGAGGCAGGAGGATCACCTGATGTCAGGAGTTCCAGAACAGCCTGGCCAACATGATGAAACCCCGCCTCTACTGAAGAAAAAAAAGAAAAATTAGCTGGGCATCGTGGCAGGCGTCTGTAATCCCAGCTACTTGGGAGGTTGAGGCAGGAGAATCACTTGTACCCAGGAGGCGGAGGCTGCAGTGAGTCGAAATAGCGCCACTGCGCTCTAGCCTGGGCAACAAGAGCAAGGCTCTAGAAAAAAAAAAACAAAAAACAGAGAGAGAGAGAAACCTACCTATGCTTGTTTAAACAATCAGGGTAACCCGAAATAGTTTGAAACAATCGTTTATATTCGACAAAGTGAGGAACCAACAATATAGATGGAAATTAGGAAATAAAATATAAACAGGCCATAAACAAGAAAATGGCTATTGGATCACAGACATAAAATATTTTTTTCTTGATGGCTCACTTTCCACACATGGAAATTAAGCTTAACAAAAGAAGAAATGTTTTCTCCTTCCCATCTTTATCTGTATCCCTTGGCACCAACAGCAGTGCCTACCACATAATTGGCTCTCAATAAAATAATTTGAATCAATGAATCATTTTATAATTTTGTCCATATTTTTAAACAGGTTACGGACAAAAATGATACAAGTAATAGAGACACAACAGTAGTACCTGGCACATAATTAGCTCTCAATAAATAATTTGAATCAATTAATATATTTAGCCAGATTTTAAAGGTTATGGAGAAGTGATACAAGCAATGGGATCAACACAGGTTTTCAATGCAAAAATTAGATTACAGCACTGAGCATCTTTGTCAAATATTAAATGCTCTCATTTAGCTCCCAGATGTTCCTTTCATTCCTGCATTAGAATATTTATCAGACTGCTGCAACCATTTATTCACATGTCTGTCTGCCCCTCTAGACCACCATGCCTGCCTTTCCGCTGCATATAGTGTCTGGCACACAGTGTTCCATAAATATTTGATGATTGAAGGAACAAATAATAGGTACCTGGAGAGCAAACATTCCAGATGCGTTACTAATTGAGACGTCAGAAATCTCTTTAACTTTTCGATGAAAAACAACTGTAGGGTAAAGTCCTTCTCAAGGTTTCTCAGGGCCCATGAACGATTGGTTTATTTTTTCCATTCTTCAAATGCAGTGGTGGGGAGAAACGCGTTTCTTCCGCTGAAGTTATGGAGATGACCACATGATGGCGCTCGCGCTGCACCGTAAACCAGAAGCAGCTGAGCTGCTTGGATCCCCGGGCAGCTCCTGGTCCCTCCCTTTTCTCTTCTGTCCCGGTTGTCTTGCTGTTTCCCCTCCGGTCCTTCTTCCCATCCAGTCAAGCTTGATACACATTAACAGTTGCCAAGAAGCTGTCAGAACGGAACTCGGGTACTGCCCACCTGAAGCTAGTATTTTCTTTGTTCTGTGACAGGCCAAATTCTGTATATTTCTCCCATTTTAAAAAAGAACATTTTGAATGCTGTTTAAACTCTGTATTTGTAGCTCAAGATAGTTATTTTTATTTTGCCCTTCATTGGTCCCTGCAAGTAACCTATACTTTCTCAGCAAAATAGCCAAGAGACTCAAATTGGGTCCTAAGTCATTAGAATCCCCTCAGCTAGGGAAATTGAGGCATAAGCCTTTGCCAACATATACAATAGTAGACGATTACAAGGTGTAAGGCATGTGGATACCTACATTCAGTGCAGATTGGAAAAGTTGGAGAACAAAAATAAGTTACATGAAAAATCACCTTCCCGTTAAGAATTAAAAACGAGTTCAGAAAGTAGATAACTAATGCAGTTTTTAAAAACAGAAAGAGTAGCCCGGCATGGTGGCATGTGCCTCTAGTCTCAGCTGTTCCAGAGGCTGAGCAGAGAGGCTTGCTTGAGCCCAGGAGGTCGAAGCTCCAGTGAGATATAATCTGACTACTGCACTCCGGCCTGGTGGGTGACAGAGAGATTCTATCTCAAAAGAGCTTCGACCTCCTGGGCTCAAGCAAAAGGAAAGGGAAATGGGATAAAAGTTTTCAACTAAAGCTTTAAAGTGGGTTTTTCTTTTCTTTTTGATTGAAGCAAACATGACATATGATGGCATGCTCCATGATTTATGTTTTGTTAAAAACAATTTTACTGAGATATAATTTACATTTAATAAAATGTATTCATTTAAGAAAACAAAAAACAATCCAGTGAGTTTGGACAAATGTCTATACACTAGTGTGAAACACTGCCACAATCAACACACATAACTTTTCCAATGCAAGAGAACATTTCCTCATGATCTCTCAGGCCAGTCCCTACCCTCACTGGTTTATATTACTTGAGAACACGTCTACCTGACTTTGACCTTCATGTAAATGGACTCATACAGTATACATACCTTGTTGTGTCTGGCTTTTTTGGCTCAATATATTTTTGATGTTCATCCACACTGTAGAAGCATTTACAGTTCATTCTTTTTATTGCTGAATAGTGTTCAACTACATGAACATATTTTTTTATTCATTTTCTTCATAGACACTAAATGTTTCCAGTTTTGACTATTATAACTAAAGCTGCCATAAACATTCTTATACATATATTTGTGTGGACATATGCTTTCATTTTTTAGGGTGAATACCTGAGAATGGAATTGCTGGGTCATAGGCAAGTTGTAGGTGTTTGATATTGTAAGAAATTAGCAACATTTTTCAAAGTGGTTGCATTCCATTCCTAGGAATTCCATAACAAAATACCAAAATCTGGGTGGATCAGAATAAGAGAAATGTATACTCTCAGAGCTCGGGGGTCCAGGAGTTTAGTATCAAAGTGTCCTCGAGCCATACTCCCTGTGACAGCTCCAGGAAAGAATCCTTCCTTGCCCCTTCAAGCTTGTGGTGGTTGCTGGCAACCTCGGCATTCCTTAGTTTGTGGCAGCCTAATTTCAATCTCTGCTTTAAGCCCATCTGTCTTCACTTGGCCTTCTTCCATGTATGTCTCCTCTGTGTCTTTGTGTATCAATTTCCATCCTCTATTAAGAACACCAGTTATTTGATTTAGGATCAATTCTAAACCAGCATGACCTCATTTTAACTTGATTACGCCTGTAAAGATCCCATTTTCAAATAAGGTCACATTCTGAGGTTCCAGTTAGACATGAAGTTGGGGGACACTATTCAGCCCGGTCCAGTGGTTGAACAAATTTACAATTTCCCCATAAGTAGGAGAGTTCCAGTTCCTTCACATCCTCAGCAGCGCTAGGTGTTATCACTGTCAATTCTAAAATGTTAGCCATTATAGTGTGTGTGGAGTGGTACCTCATTTGGGCTTCAAATTTCAGTTTCCTGGTAACAATGGATGTTGAACCTCTTTTCATGAACTCATTAGTCATTTAGGATCTTCCTTTAGAAAAACTATCTATCTTCTGCCCATTTAAAAATTGGGCTATTTTGTTTGTTTTTGAGATGGAGTTTCACTGTATTACCAGGCTGGAGTGCCTTGGCACTATCTGAGCTCACTACAAACTCCATCTCCCAGGTTCAAGCAATTCTCCTACCTCAGCCTCCCAAGAAGCTGGGATTACAGGTGACCCCCCACTACACCCACTAACTTTTTGTATTTTTAATAGAGACGTGGTTTCACCATGTTGGCTAAGCTGGTGTCAAACTGCTGACCTCAAGTGACCCACCTAACACCCAGTTGAGCCTCCCAAAGTGCTGGGATTCCAGGTGTGAGCCATTGTCCCTGGCCCACATTTTCTACAGTGTGTTTTGATCAATGGCAGTTTAATTCAGATAAAGTCAAATTTTTAACTCTTTCCTTTATGATTAGTGCTTTTTGTGTCCCCTCCGAACAATCTACCCAAACTTAAAGCTGCAAAAATGTTATCTTTCCCTCCAGAAGCTCTATAGTTTTAGCTTTTATATTTAAGCCTATGATCTATCCTAAATTGATTTTTGCATATGCTGTAAGGTAAGAGTTAAAGCTCATTGTTCCTCACATTTGTGTATTTGTTGTGGCTCTATTTGTTGAAAAGAAACTTCTTTCTCTATTAAACATTGACTGAAAATGTGTTGACTATGTTGTGTTGAAAATTAGTTGATGTCATATGTTTTGTTCCAACCATCTACTTGCCTACTCATGCCACCTTGTTTTGATTACTATCATTTTATACTCTTAAAGTCAGATAGCGCAAGTCCTCCAACACTGCTTTTTTGGGAGGTAGTATTCTCTATTATAGGTACTTTTCATTTACATGTAAATTTCAGAATTAACTTTTCTGTTTCGACCAACAATGAAAAATATCTTTTTGGATTTCGTTGGGATTAAACTGAATGTATAGTAAGTAGGATTTTAAATAATTTGTAAAACCCATTTCTTGCTCAGAAAACCTCATTTTCTAATTTAATTTCCTAAAAGTGTCTTGTCTTTGAAAAATATATATAAATGTCTCTAGCCAGATCAGAACTTATTTTGAAAATCTTGGAAATCATCCAATCCATTTTAAGCAACTCTGCCTTGAAAAAAAGAAACTTCTTCCCAATAATTTGTCTGTGGAAAGATTTTTCTGACATTAAAAAATGTACATACTTATGATAAGCAACCCATAACTTCAAAAATGTTTTGGGAGCTTTTCTTAAAAATACTAATATCCATTTCATTTAACTGTTAGCTACTAAATACTTCTCCATAGACTAGGTTCAATAGAAAAATACTAACTAGTTATATTTTCAAATTATTGAAAAGTAAAAACAAAATTCATTTTTCTTTACTTCTCTCTCACTCCATTATCCACTTTAATAATATATTCACAATATATATGTACAGAATGTTTGAAAAACCACACACCTGCCACATTTTGCTTTTCAAATGTTTTCAGTCTTAGGTATATTCTGAGTCTTGCCTGTGTTTCTTTCCACATGAGATATTTCACTATGAAATACATGAATAATTTAAAAACTTGAAAACTATAATGAAAGTTAAAATGTGAAAACAAAGTCTTAATTATTGTTACATCCCTACATTTCTTTCAGATGGCAGTGAAGTATGTTGAAGGGAGCAATTCAACCACGCTGCCTCCTCTGATAGCCCAACTCCTCCCCACCTGTCAGCAATTAAATACCTGGATGACAGCGCACTATCTTTCATCTTTTCAACTCCAAAGGGATGAGAGGTTTACAATTAAGGAATTATTGGCTATAGTATCACAATGCTTCTAAGATCTGCAGCCCTAACCACGTAGTTTGAAAATTAGTCTATATGTTGCAGGTGCCATCTGCTGGAATCGTCAAGGAACACAAACACACAGCTTGCCTATTCCTCACGGACTAAAACAATTGTGATTCCTGTATTTCTTTAATCCTAAGATGTATATTCCGGACTATAATACTTCTGGAATTAGCATGCATGGAAAATTCTGTGCTAAAGTGTTCTTCCTATATCAGAGAAATATGTAACTGAGATTACTATAAGAAACCAATACCACAAAGCTTGCAACACTAGGCCTGTTTGGGGAATTAAGTATAGACTATTCATAAGTAAATCAAATGATTTACAAAAATCCACAAAATGAATGATTCACAGCTAGTAAGAATGATATGTATGAAAAGTTTAATGATAAGTGGAATTGTTTATATTGTAATATTAATAGGCACAAAGCCCAGAAAACACAATAAAACGTATGTATGAGTTAAGCTTATTAGACTAAAGCATTCGTGTATCCTGATTAAGAAAGCAGAATTCAGCAGAACGAGGCTCGAATCCTACCTCTGCCCTTTATTTCCTGTGTGACATCAAGGAAGTTATTTTATCACTCTGAATGTTTCCTCATCGGAAAATGTTGAAAATTACAAAATTCACAAGGATATAAAAATTACATAAATATGAAGCTTGTAAAGAAATTCCTGGCATGGACTATACCCTCACTGAATGTATTTATGACTTTACAGGGAAAATAGCTAAAATAAATCAGACAATCAGAAGTTTATGAGAGAAGCTTTTGCTCTTCATTACAGTTTTGCAATTCATAATGTTTAAATTATGAATTGCAAAACTCATACTTTGAACATACTTTGTTCCAATAATGAGGTAAATAAAGTAAAAAATTAAAAACAAGTCTAAGTGCTTGTAGTCCAATGGGGGCAGTTACAGATAAGAAAACGAAAATAGCTGCTAAAAGGTTCTCATGCAAATCCAAGAGTCATAGACCAGTTATCAAAAAACAGCCCACTCCAACCAGCCTTCTAGTTGTCTATAAGAAATGCACCATTCAAAGCAAGTGGGTAGCTGGAAACATCAGGACAGATGGCCTTCACTATTATAATTCTCTGTACGGAGTTTTGAAAAAGCACATACAATTAATTTTAAAAAGTGATGGGGGCCGGGCACTGTGGCTCATGCCTGTAATCCCAGCACTTTGAGAGGCCAAGGAGGGCAGATTACGAGGTCGAGAAATGGAGATCATCCTGACCAACATGGTGAAACCCCATTTCTACTACAAATACAAAAATTAGCTGGGCATAATGGCACACACCTGTAGTCCCAGCTCTTCAGAGGCTGAGGCAGAAGAATCACTTGAGCCTCGGAGACAGAGTTTGCAGTGAGCCAAGATTGAGCCACTGCACTCCAGCCTGGAGACAGAGCCAGACCCCGTCTTAAAAACAAAACAAAACAAGTCTCAGGTACTCGGTAGGCTGAGGCAGGAGAATTGCTTAAACCCAGGAGGTGGAGGTTGCAGTAAGCTGAGATCGTGCCACTGCACTCCAGCCTGGCTCCTGGTGATGAAGCAAAACTCTGTCTTTGGAGGAAAAAAAAAAAAAAAAAAACAAGTAATGGGTCCATATGTTCTTGCATTTTATACACCACTGGGAATTCCAGAAGCCTCCCATTTCCTAATGTATGCATACCAATAAGGGTGGTGGGAATAAACCTTTATGCTGGTAGTTATTATTTTGTTTTATGATTCCATGAAAACAAATAATTTTTATGTACACAAAGGTTAAAGGAAAAATTATAAAGACCTTGCTAGGAAGGTATGATAAAGCACTATAGTACTGAAGGAATGTGTTCTCTTTCTGAGTCCATGATGGGGCATAGTTTTAAGGGCAAGAATTTCCCAGCTCCATACCCCCCCTCCCATTTCTCTCCATCTGGGAGATTTAACGGTTTAATGTTTGAACTTCGCAGGCGCGGGCAGAAACTAAAAGTCAATCACTCCAGCGGAAGTTCTAAAGACCTCTTTTCATTGGTCAGGGGTCTTGGAGAAGGTGGGGGTTCCTCCCAGGTTAACAGTCCCCTTCTTCCACACCCCTTTGGACTCCATGTTTGGATCCCCTTCCATGAACACTCTCATGGAAGCCATTTTTCTCTCTCCTGGATTTCCCCTCTGGGGTCCCCTTCCACACTCTCTCATAGAAGCCTGTCTTCCCCTCCTAAACTCCATATGTCTCTCTAATTCCCTTCCACTCAGTGTGGAAGCTTTCCTCTCCTGGATTCCATCTTTCTAGATTCTCTCGCTCAGCTTGAGAGTTAGCTGTTTCTCTCTCTCTAAATCACTTTCTACAAACACTTTTGAGTCTAGCATTTAGTGCGCACTATGCCGTGATCCCCTCTCTCTTTCTTGAGAGGGCAGGAGACAAAGAATCTGGAGAAACATCCTCTCAGAGGAACTGAGGGCACGCTGAACCCCAATATTACATTGTGGCGAGCCAGCCAGGAGAGGGGTACACTAGGAGAGGGGTACACCAGAAGAGGGGTACAGCCAGAAGAGGGGTAAGCCAGGAAAGGGGTATAGCTGGAGAAGATAACTTCAAAATCATCAGTAAAACCGACCCCATTCTGTCCTGTCTCTTTAAGAACACCTGAAGTGGCCATAGCCAGGCAGAGCTGAGGGAACCTGAGTAGCAGCGCCTCAGAAGCATGACCCTAGAGCAGACCAGCCAGAATTAAAAGCACAGGTTTTTTTTTTACCTTCAAGCTCTCTCTCTGCTTTCTGTCTCCTTCTCTATTCTTCAAATATTATCTCTGGGACCAAAACCTGTAGGAGCCTGTGGGGCAGAGCAGGTGAGCACTGCCCCTTTCACTCAGGCACTGGCAGGGAAGAGCCCAGCCTCGGGCAGAACCCAGTGTGCAGCCGCAGGCCAGAGAAAAGAGGGGGAGGGGCGAGGTACAACGGAAGCCTGCAGGGGACCAGGACGCACGGGGCCTGGCCTGGTTCTGGTAGCAGGCCTCTCCGGCGTTCTCCAGCCCCAGGCAGCAGTGTAAAAAGGCTCCCCAGGTCGTTCGCCTGCTGGTCGTGGGTCCCTGTGTTGGCAGCAGCTTGGGGAGTGGTTCTGGCGGGGTCAACAGGAGACCAAAAGCTGCAGAGGTGGGGTAACTCACAGTCTGGCCCAGCAGCAGCTGCGAAGGCTTTTAAATTGACGAGGCACGTGGTTTTTTTACTCTGCTGGTGCAGCTGAGGAAAAGGAAGCAGCTGCTGGCCATCAGCCCCACCCGTCTTTGGGCAGCCACATCACCTCAGGGTGCAGCATTCTCATTCAAAATGCAGCTTAAGAAAGCTTTCTGCCTTCTTTTATCACAAGTGGCTTAGC